TACTATATATGCCTCATAGTGCAACATGTCTCTTTTTGGTCCTCATAATATCATCTCATATGCCGGTTTGGCCACCTGAAACTTCGATACCGGATGGCTAATACTAGCTGCCAGAAGTTCACTATAACCGCTGATTGTTTCCGACGGCTTACCGGCGGTCCACATAACGCCAGAAGTTCTACATGTGTTGATTTCAAGTTAGGGAAAATGCAAAGGGGTAGGTAGAGTAAAGATAAGATGTAGTCTTTTATGTTTAGGTATGCTTCAATAAATTCTTTTGGCAATCATGGTGTATTATTAGGGTTGATGTACTATGATTATTGTATATATGAAAATATAATATGTAAAGATGTTTAGAAGATTAATGAAAATATTTTGAGTGTTTTCTTGTATTATTAATTTGATATTTTAGTGGCTATATATTATGTTATTAAATAGAAATAAAAGAAATTCCTTTCAAATAGAACTTAAGAACAAAATTGTTAAAATCTAAAACAATATGACAAATTCGGCATACATATTATATCTAGTTGGGTTGTGATAGGTCCAAGGATTGTAGATGATGGATAATAGGATTTTACAGGGCCATAGTCAAGCAACGGTGGTCTAAAGACCCTAGTCAGCAATCCATGAAGGTTGGAGGACTATATTTACCATGCGATGGAAGGTGGAAGGACGATAGTAAAAAAATGATGGTTGAAAGAGCATAATTGAGTGATGGTGATCTAAGGACCCTAGTCGGCTGGCAATAGAGGATAGAAGCTTATAATCAGACAATGAAGGTTTAAATACTATAGTCGGGCTAGGGTGGTCAGAAGACTGCAGTCGGGCGATAGAGGTAGGAAGATCATAGTTAGACAATGGTGGTCAGAAGACTACAATACATTAATGGAGTTTATAGGACTGAAATTAGTCGATGGTGGTGAAAAGGGTCATTTATGGGTGACAGTGATTTAAGGACCATGATTGGAAGGTAGTAGGGGTTGGAAGGATCATAATCAGGCTATAATGAACCTAGGGTTATTAGTAGTAGGTGATAAAGGTTAAAAGGGGTATAGTGAAGGGACAGCATTCAAAAGACCATAGATAGGTGATGATGATTTGAGAAATATAGTCGAAAGCTAATAAATATTGAAAGGACTATAGTCGAGTAGTGGAGGACGAATGGACTGTAATTTGGTGTGAGTAGTCTGAAGGATCATGGTTAGGTTACAGCGTTCTAGTGACTGTGGTCGGCAGACAATATAGGTCAAAAGAACAGTAGTTGGGAAACCAAGTTTGGAGGATCGTAATTATGTGATAGTATTCTAAAGATTATAGTCAGCAAGTTATGGAGGTTAGGAAGAACATATTCAAGATATTGAGGTCAGAAAACTATAGTCAGGTAGTAGTGGCCTGATGACTGCAATTAAAGGGTGAGGAGGTTGGGAAGACTTTAGTCAGGCTACAGAGGTTTGAAGACCATAGGTATGCAACAAAGGTTAGAAGATAGTATTCGACGAGCAGTGCACACTACAGGAAAATGACCAATTACCGACCGCCTTTACCGGCGGTTAATATCAATTTTTTGGCAGTTGTAAAAAATACCAGCAGTTTTTTGGTGGTCTGTTAACTGCTGGTATAAAATGCGTAGGAAACAAATTACGACGGTCATTTTTCGGTGGCCAAAAGTTCTGGTGACTAGCACAACCAGTAAATTCAGGCGGTCATAGCGTCGGCGACCGCCATGTAATTACCACCGGCATACCAGCCACCTGAAACTCTGGTAAATTTTGGCGGTCAAAGCACCGACGACCACTAGATAATTATTGGCGGCGTACGGGCCATCTCAAACGCCAGTAGTGCCAGCAGCCAAGGAGGATAATAGTCAATAAATTGGAAGGATCATAATCAGGCAAAAAAGGTTAGAAAACTATAGTAAAGCAACAATGGTTTAAAGATCATAGTCGATTGACAATAGAGGATATGAGGACTGTAGGAAAGTGAGGGAGGTCAAAAGGATGGAGTTGGGTGATAGAGGTAAACTGTATTCGATGCTTCATAGTGGTCAGAAGGATGAAGTTCAATGATAGAGGCCAAAAGGATCATAATTGATTGATAGTGGTTGATGCTGGCCCAAGGATCGTAGTCAACTATAAACATAGATCATGTGGACTATAATTAGGTGTTGGAGGTTGGCAAATCATAGTCAAATGATAGATATCGGAGGATCGTTGTCAGGTGATTGTGGTTCAAGGATTGTAGTTAGAAGACAACTAGCGGCCTGTAAAAGGTCTTATGGTGGATGCAGCTAGTGAAAGTTCATCGACGGCGTTCGTTTCATAGGTAAAAGTTAGGCATTTGTAGTTGGATAAAGAATCAATGTTGGCAGATGTGTGGAGAAGTGTCTTTAGCAACCAGGCGGAAAAATCCTAGCAGTGATTAATTGACGAGGGTTTGTAGGTGGTGATTCTCAGGTGTAGCTTCAAAATTCTTTAAGCCTCAATTGACACTAAGTATTTATTAAGAGGACACTTACGAAAATACAAGCCTATAGGCAACAATATTGATTGGACTAATCATACTACTAATGAATATATGATTGCCTAGGGATGCAAGTCAACTAGACAACAAATGATGGAATGCAATTTGATTTCTAATTAAAAGCTTGATAGAGATAATATCATTATGATAGGAGGTGCAAATTTCACTTCATGAATTTTGGAGAGAACATGTGATTTACTTGTAAACTAAAAATCCTTTTAAAATAATAAACTAATCTAGTGGTTTGTTTGGATATTTTGGATCTTATATTGAATATTCTTTATTGTTATCTACAATGGATGGTGGAGGTTTTTTTTTTTAACATCAAATTTTGATTGGATGATGTTGTTCCTAGTCTAAAAGGCACAGTCTTCTCTAAATTATGTTGGCCTAGGCATCTAGTGGTAGTTTAGTGATGGAATCATTCATAATGTCCTATAATGAATATCTAAATATTCTAAGCATCTAAATATTCTAAGCACCATCATATATAATTAAAACTTTGATCCATAACCATTTGAACCATTAGCATCTATATTTATTAAAAATTTATGATAGGATTTTCTACATTAAGAATGGATCATCTAACTATATAAGGGTAATGCAATGAATACACTATAGTCTTTAATGTGAGCAATTTGATATGGATGGTAGATAGAATGGTGTAGTATTAGTTGAATAATGGTCTCAATAGTTTAAAATCTCTAGGAATATATTAGACAATAATGAGTGCATGTTGGAGTTATATGATGGCACAAATGTGCTACTAATGGAATGGAGAACCTAAAAATCAATCGATTAATCCCGAGTCATGTTGGAGTTGACAATAGCCTCCTAAGGTATGCACATTTTAACACATGAGAACCTATTGATTTTTTCTACTTGTTTAGGATCCATGTATTCATGTAAGCAATTTTCATCAACTAATAATTGATGTTTATTTTTTCTTTCATTAAGTACTTATTTGGTATACTTCCATTTCTTCTAAGAAGTTGGAGTTTTTCCTTGTCCATCTATTCTAATTTTTCTCACATACTATTTCATTTTTTCATGATTTAAATTCAATAGTTTGCGGCTTATGGAAAATTAAAAACATAATAATAATAATAATAATAATAATAATAATAATAATAATAATAATAATAATAATAATAATAATAATAATAATAATAATAATAATAATAATAATAATAATAATAATAATAATATATTTGGCATTTAGAACAACTATTTTAAACCTTCATTTGGGACAACTTTCTTATCGTTTTACTTTTTCAATATAGTTTTTATATGTCTATTATTTTTTTACTGTTTTTAATAAATTTTGTGCCAGAAAGTTGCTTTCGGTTGTAGCTTTCAAAAAAGATGTTTTATCTACAGCAACTTTATAATTACCTTTATAAAATATTACAATCATCCCAAACAGACTCTAAATCAATCAAAGTTTTAACAAAATAATTAATACATTTATGCTCGTTAATTATACTACATCAAATAAATGATAAAGAAAAATCATTATATTTGAGGCCTTGCTAAGATTTCTGTTAATGATAATAGGCAAACAAATATTTTCATATTTTAATAGTATTTCTGCAATTAATATGAATGAGCTGAGTATTTATTACTATTACTATTATTAGGGTTAGGGTAATTCTGCAATTAATATATGAGGTTATCATTATAAGATATTTTTTGAAGAGTTTTTTTTATGGATTTAGTAGTAAGAAAAAGAGTTAGTAAAAATATTATAAATTTTTAAAAGATAAATTTTTTACCACTATTTAAATTTTTATCTTTAAATAGTTATTTTTCGAAGACTATTTTTAAAACTGTAACTGAGAAATGAGCTCTTAAAATAAAAATAGAAATACTTAAATTGCCCAAACAAAGCCTAAAAAACTAAAGTTTTCCTCATCTTAATGTTCTTATTTAGATTTTTTTTTTAATGGGATTTAAATATTTACAATTAAATTTTTTTCTTATATTTAAAATTTAACTATTCTAAAGGCAAATTGGGGAATATATAAGCTAAGAACCAAATTAGAGCTCAAATGACGCACAGATAAACAAACAGATTTATAACAAGCTTAAAAACGGCAAATAAGCCATAATTATTGACATTTTGCTGTTTCTATGAGCCAAATGTCAACCTCTGAAGTTTCTCTCCTCTGACTTCTGTTACTCCCCTCTCTATCTCTCTATCTGATTCCTCAGCTTGCCCGCATAACTCTCTTTGCTTTGGCCCATAAGAAAGATAAGGAGGTATAATGCAAAGCTGGTCAATGTATTGAATACTTGCTCATGTCCTCCATGATTAAATATTCATAACATTTTTTGTGTTATCATTCTTGTCCTCTACTTTTCCACGAATGATATCAAAATTATATATAGGCTTTGAATATTGTTCTTCTAAGTCACCTATGTGCTCCAGCATCTTCCTCATAGTCTACTGATCGACCGTAGTGGGGAGAAAGAGACTGGTGGAGATGAGAGGGGAGAAGTCAATAGAAGTGGTGGAGATTGAAGATGACGAGGAGCAAAAGAATGAGACAAGTGAAGGAATAAGTTGCAGAAAAAAGTTTCAGCTTGAGCTGAACCTTAACGAGGAAGTGATGGAAGAGAGAGAACAAGAAGATGATGAAGATAATGGAAGCACCACAGAAGTTAGAGAGGAAGGAGGAGGAGAGAGTTGTAGCAACAATAATAGTGAAGAAGATGGAAATAACAATGATGGTGACTCAAGTAAGAGCATGGAGGAGGATGGAGAAGAGAACAGAGACCGGCGATCGGCCGCCGTTAGGCAATACGTGAGGTCTAAACTGCCAAGGCTACGGTGGACGCCGGAGCTCCATCTCTCCTTTGTTCATGCCGTTGAGAGGCTGGGCGGCCATGAGAGTAATTTTCCCCTGCCCTCTTTTCATTTTTTTTTTAAAGAAAGAAGCAGATCAACTTGGTGCATGGGGTTGCAATGATTTTATCTGCATAATGATTTTAGAAATCTATTAATTTTCTTTTTAATTCATTTGGTTGGTGCAGGAGCGACCCCGAAGTTAGTTCTTCAGATGATGAATGTGAGGGGTTTAAGTATTGCCCATGTAAAGAGTCACTTGCAGGTACAAAAGACTAATTCATGAGCATAGTTTTCTTCCACTTTTTAACTACTTTAGCTCTAATTAAGAGCCTTCACTATCCTGGCCAAAAAAAAATCTTTTTCTCTGTATTATACCTCTTTAATCACAAGTCTCCCAGGATCAATCTGATCCTCCAAGTTCCATTACCCTTATCATTTTGTTTGCAAGATGAGTTTTTATTACTACATGTATTTAATCCCCTTTCTAATACTTCCTTTCAACTTTTTACTGATCATCAGATGTACAGAGGCAAGAAGCTTGATAGTTCAGGGCAAGACAGGAGCATCTTCTCTTCGGGTATACAGATTAATAGTTATAATAATAACAATAATAATAATAATTGCACCGATTCAGAATAAAACAAAAGAAAAATAGGAACTACTGGCCTGCACTAAATAAATAATCTCCACTAGTACTAGTTCACATATTTTGTCAATTAAATTATAATTATATTGCAAATTGATGGTACAGGATTATCAACATTTGATGCCCATTTAAGAAGAGAGATGTTCTACCAACGAGCAGCTGGTTCTTGCCAACCATTAAGAATGGAAAATGGTGGCCTCCTTCCATCCAGATATATTCATGAAGCTGAAAGATTTTACAGTCTCTTGCGGCAGTCTCAGGCTCAGAGAAGTTTTGAATTCAATGAAAGCAACTTCAGGTAATAGATTCAAAAAGCTAAAAACTCATCATAGTAATCTCACATGCATAAAAAAGTACTAGAAAAAGTTCCATGCTGATGAACTAAGCTTCTCACACAGACACCAGCAGCAAATGATAGTAAGATCAAGCTCAATCAAAGATCTGAACTGTAAGAAAGACGAAAGGTATTTGCCACTGCAAAGGAGCAGAAGCTTTGAGTGGATAGGTGGCTGCACTCACCAGCAGCTTTCACAAACTCTTCAAATCAATTCATCTTCTAATAGTAGTCCTAATTTTAGTATGAATGGCACCAGCAGCTACTTCAGCAAGATCAATCAATATTCCGGGCATGACCCTTTGACTAAAGATGAACTTGATCAGCCTCATTTAACACGATCTTTTCCATTCCAGGTATATTACAGAACAAAAAAAAAAATTTACATCACTTCGAATAATTTAATTTTAGCAATATTGATTTACATGATTTTGAGATTAGAATAATTTATAAATAAATATAAAAAATTTCACATTGCAAATGTAAATATTTAAGGATTTATTGGTATGTATGCAAAAGCCCCAATTATTTATGATTAAAGAACTATTTATATACCAAAGGCTTTATTATTTACTAACATTTTTTCATTTAATGATGCAATTACAGGATCAGAAATCTAGCAAAAATTCAACTAAGATTGACAAAAGCATTGAAAATATAGAGGAAATATCTACAGATGCCAAGAAGATGAGATTCACAAGAGAAAACAATGGAATTCCAGAGTTGCAGCTGAGCTTGATGCCAAGCTCAATAGATCACAAAGAGACAAATACCATGAACATTGAGTCAAGAGATGAGAGTGAGCTCTCACTTTCTCTATCTCCTCCAACTCGCAGAGCAATCAACAAATCCTTTAAAATGCAAGGAAATATTATGAGCTCTGAAAAAGATTTCTTAAAAATTGGCAGCAGTAAGATGTCCTCTTTATTTTTGAGTGCTTCAGATATCGCCATGTCCTACTAAAATTTTAATCTGTTGACATACATTTTTGAAGAAATGAATAAAGTTTTAATTTTTTTTCATCTTCTAACTTAAATTTCTAATCATCTCTTTTGAAGATTTGTGATTATGAGATAAAGTTGTCACTTGTTTTTTAAATGACTGTTACTAACCAAATTGTTTTTAGTCAAAAATATTTTCAATCATAATAGTATTAATCATAGCTTCTTTTTAAATAAATCAACAAGAGATATTACAGTCACATTATTACTAAGAAGTTAATCTTAATTTAGTCCCAAAAGGACTATTTTGGAGCAGTTTTGTATTGTTGATGGATTAAATTAGAACAATACGATACTATGAACTCAATTGGGTGACAAAAAAATGGTTATACGAAAATTTCAAATATATAAAACTTAAAAAATAATTTTTTAGAACAAAAATTTAGAAATCTCTCAAAGAAATGACTTTATCATACTAACAACTCATATTAATGTCACAATTCATGCAGGATCTTGGTAACTTCTTAAATATGATTTTACCAAATAATCATCTAATTTACTCAACAATACAGCAAAACAGAACACTAAAATCAATTCTCATATTGCTTTCGACAGTGATTGACCAAAGCACAAGTTTTGTCCGTTAAAATTCTCTGAGGTGCGTCCAGTTAAGCTTATCACAATGGATTATGATGATTACTAGATATCCTGATAGTTTCTGTTTGTATAATACGAATGATGAATGATAACAAATGTAAAAGGGCAGTGCAAATGTAGTATGTTACACAGAATCAACTAATCGTATGTCTCAATAAAATGCCTCTCTCCACAGATAGAACTAGAAAACAACCTTAGCTACATTTTGATTGCCTTTATGCTAATTATGAGTTATCCCTTTCCTCTCAATACAGTTAAAGCTCAAAGATCTGAAAAATGTTATTTCATTTCAGTTGTTCCCCAAATGGATACTTGAGTTTTCAGTCACGCCTGGTACAACAAGAACGCAGATTTCGTTATGAAGCAATCAGAAATTCTCAACTACAATTGTGTGGTTGAGTTAGGCCATTACTGTAGTTGGCTGAGAGGCCAGAAATCTTATTGCTCACAATGATGGAGCAGGCAAACCTGCATCTACACTACATAAATGGTCAACTGACAAAGCCTACACCTCAATCAATACGAGTTGACAGAAGAAATTTGTACAAAAGTTTAGTTAACATGAACATCAACTCCATGGAAATAGGGAAATAATGAAAGGGGAGGAGATCAGTTTTGCCTGTCTAGAGCAGGAAGATCGATGCATGAGCTAAGGACTTATGATGCATTTGTTTAGCATATTGTTCTGTATAATTAAGTACTGATACCAACAAAACACTAATACTGAATAATATTGGGCCATGATACTATCGAAAAAAAAAAAAAAAACTATAAGCTATGCTCACCAATAAACCTCCCGAATAAATAGTTATTGAGTGTTCACTGGCTGAGTTAAATGGGAGGTTTATCAGATATGGTGCCAAACTATTACTTGGCTTGAGGATTTCTAGTGTTTTGTTGCTCAAAAACATCGATATGAGTTAAAGCAACCCATGAGGGCTTTCACCGCCAGAGAAACCATGAAATTCAAACCAACTAAACAATGCGAAAATGTTGTTTTCCAAATATACAGAAATTTTATAATTTCACAGATGATTCCCAAGTTGTAAAAGTAAACAACACAAAGAAATCATTTTTCGATCTTATTTATAGCATGAAAGAATAAGTGCTAACATGATATCTTGGTTGTGACACTAGCTTCAATAGTAGAGTTAATAGTCCATAGTAAAGTTATTAGTACATTTACTTGAAGCAACTCATATGAGTTTTGAGATTACGATTATATGAATCTGGTAGAAGAAAGCCACAAGTCAACTTAGTGGGTATTTTGGGAAGGTGAAACACCAAGTTAGCGGCACCCCTTTAGCTGTCTATCAATAAGCCTCGCCCAATCACGATTCGACATAAACAAGAAGTCCAACTTAATAAGATTATGATTTATGAATTCAAAGCCTTTCACACTCTCATCACTTATTTCGTCTTCATAAGAATCATCATTATAGTGAATTGCTTTTTCTCCTCCCCATCCTCAATTTATGTCAACATCCTCCGTCTTCCTCCACATCTTTGATCTCTATCATCTTCCTCTTTACTAATCAATAAAAATTAATAGAACATTAATTAAATTTAAAACAACAACTATATTATTGATTAGAATTTCCTTGCATAAAATATTAGGCTATCATTTTTTATTACTTTTTGGTTGATTTGTGTTGGTCTTGTTCTTCCTCTATTTAAAAGTCAACATTGAGATCTCTTATAATTAAAATTGTATTATCTGGGGAACATTTTGCTACTATATTTTTTACTTATCGTAGTCTGAAAAATTTTCTTTATTTATAAAAGCTACAAGTTGAAGGTCAACCTTCATCACTCAGTTGAGTAATCAAACTATCCATACAATTTTAAAAACAAAAATTGATCTCTAGATTCATTGACTTGTACGCAACACAATAATATTGATTATTTGGACAACAACTAGTCAATTGTAAATACCGCTATAGCTAAAGATCCCATTTCTCACTATGATTTCCCAAGTTTCCATGAATTCTTCTAAAGTTTTGTGCTATCAACACCTTTGTCTCATCCATTGCATTATAAATAAAACTCATAACTAGCTTTTTCTATGCATCAACCAGTCATAAAATTTAAATCAAGATCTTAGTAGTTGTGACAACATAAGTCACACTTGTTCAAAATCTATCAACTCAAAACAATATACTTGATTCCTTTACCTTCAAATTTGTTAACCTAAACACAATTTAACTACTGTTTGGAGTGAACAAAGACTCCAAAAGTTGCCTTTATTATAATATGCTTTGTGGGTTAAGGCATAACAAATCTAGCAACTGCAAGTCTTGAGTATTTTCTTAGAGAACTTCCTCATCAAGGCCAAAACACAATCATGATAATAAATGAACTTGCGAATCTTTTTGCATTTAATCAATTTGGTCGTATATTTAACGACGGGAGCTGGAGTGGGATCGAGAGCGGGATTTCGGCAGGGAATACGGAGAAACGCCGTGAATCGGTGCTGCCAGCGTGATTTCAGCAGGATTCCGGGGATTTCAGTCGGGATTTCGGGCAGATGTCGTGGATCTGCCGGGTATGATTTTGATTTTTTTTTTGTTTCCTTTGGATATGGTATGCAGGTCAACAGATAAGACAACTCTTTATATTTTTTCAAGAATAAAATCAATGTAATGTGTCATATGGAATCCAATAAATAGGTTTCTCTTCTCAATCAACTTATTTCTCATTGTCTTAGTAAGCACTTACATTGTCGGTAATAACTTAGACCACTAACTGCTCTACAATTTCCTTTATAAATCCATACAATTGAGACAATGGAAGAGCACCAGCAAGGGTGCAACAACGGCAAGTGCGAGAGGCATTGGGTACAAGTGCAGCGTGTGTCTGAGGGTCAAGGAGGTTCACGTGGTTTCAATTCTTGGTTCTGTTTGTTTTAGATTTAGGTGAATAAAAATAACAACATATGATTTATTTTATTAGATATAGGTGTATACAAAGATAGACCACTAACAGCTCCAAAATTTCCTTTTTAAATCAAGATAATTGAGAGGAAGAGCAACAGCAAGGGGACAACAACGACAAGTGACAATGGCATTGGGTGTAGTGCAATGTGCATTTGAGAGTCAAGGAGGTGCGCGTGGTTTCAATTATTGGTTCTATTTGTCTTAGATGTAATGTATAGAAATAACAAAATATGATTTATTTTATATATCAAAGAAAAAATTAAGATATTTCAATTACCTAAATTTTTTTTAGACCTGCACCTCTTAAAGATTGCACAGAGATTCTCAGATTCACTTTAGCCACATTGAGGAGTACACCTCACCAGACCAAGGTGAGGCATGCATCTCATGACATTTTTTTTAAAATTACACTGAGAGATATCCCTTATTATACAATTTTAAACAATGGTTACAATAGCCCGCAAACACCAAATCTAATAGAAATGAGTCAAATTCTTAAGATAGAATAAGAAGGGAATTACCAAAGTGATAAAAAAGGATGATGGCAAAAGGCCTGCCATGCCCACATAACTAAAAAATAAAATGATCATTATCTATTAAAAGAGTTTTCATAACAAGGGACCCAAATGTGTCATGTGTCCTTATTACTAATTAAGTTATAATATATTCATTTTAAAAAATATAAAATATTCAACACAAAAGTGCAAGAAAAAATCATACATAAAAGGCAAATAAATGAAAACTGGTAGACATTTTTAATACATAACCCGTACTAACAATTTAAAAAAATACATAAAAAATTATTTCTTCTAAAAAATATGAGATATCTGACACAGAAGTACAATATAGAGAAAAAAATGGAGGACAAAAATAATATGAAAATTTTAATACGCAACCTACAATAAAAAATCACATGTTATGTAATATTGAGAACTATGGGCTCCGAAAATTCGCGCCCCGCCCTCTTCTTGGACCCCTTTCTTTCTTTCTTTTCGAGTCGTTGAGGAGAGTTTTAACAATTAGGTTCTGAGGAAAATTTTTAGAAGGCAGATTTTGTTTGAAATAAGACACTACCCATAGATTTTACCCTCATTTTATGAGGACTTTATGATCTGAGTTCAGGTTTCCTACAAGCGCAAACCCCTATAGTTAATTACCCCTCCGATAACAAGAGAGAACTTCTGATTAAGGCTAGTTGTCAAACAGATATGTAGAGATACGTGGTATCTGGTGTATAGTAGCAACATGGGTTTTAGTATTTGAGAATTTAATATTTAAAATTGAAAATTTTACCATCTTGCACTTAAAGCGCATCATGGGGGGAGTGATGATGAGCCCGATCAAAATCCCATGATCACGTTATCTCGGGCCATCGTGGTCCCTGGTCTACTTAGTCAAAGGAGGTAGTCGACCAAACCTAACAGAAGGATCCTTGTCGACAGTCATGGGTTGCTTCGTCCAAAGGT